AGTCATATTCAGGTCCTTTTCTATCGTGGTTTTAAAAAGATGAATTCTGGGAATTGTGCAATGAACATTAAAATGAATTTTTAGTGGGATTTTGCTCTCCCATACCCTTTGCTGACTTACACTGAGGTTTTATCTGGACCATATCAACCTGTATTCTGAATTTCAGTCCCCTGGTTTTGCACACATACCAGGCCAGAAGAGTTTGACAAGCACGGAGATCATGAGAATCCAAAGGCAGACGGACTTTCTCAGGTACATATCATACTCCTGACTCTGCCTAAACCCAAAAGAGACAGGGTGGTTAAAATGATCCTAACAGGGCTTGGGAGCGAGCTGGACAGTCTAAGTGCCTGCCTGGCAAGCACACGAACCCAGGTCCAATCCCTAATACCACATGCCGCACTGGCCCCGGAACCCCAGTCTCACCGTGCTAGCCACCAAAACTGGTCATGGTGGCACGTACCTATAACCCAGGGCTGGGGAGGCTGAGAGAAGAAGATCGCTGCTACAAGTCCGTGCTGTGTAGTGAGACCCTGTACCTCATAAACAAATAAATAAATGATTTGTTAAAAGTTTTTTAAAAAGTATCTAACAGCTGGCATGGTGGTGCACACCTGTAATGCCAGCACTCAGGAGGCTGAGGCAGGAAGGTTGAAGCCATCCTGGGCTGCATAGTGAATTCAGTGACAGCCTGGACTACACAATGAGACCCTGTCTCAAAAACAAAACCGACAAACAAACAAACAACAGTTTGATGGACACATTGAAAACTTATCACAAAGGAACAAATTCATCCCCTCTGGAAGTTTCTGCCCTCTACCTCTCACCCTCCCCAAGGCCCAGAGAGCTGCTGACCTGCTCTTGTCACTGTGTTGGTGACTGCGTCTGCTTCTGGTTTTGTAGTATATGTACTGCAGAAAGGAGCACTTGATTCCGTGTGTAGGCAGAGCGATTCAGTCTGTGCCAGGCGTCTGTGTTGCTCGCGTCCGACGTGTCTGCCCTCTGCTGGCTGTGCTGGGTCTCGCTGGGCTTCCGCTCTGCACCCTGTACTCCGTGTAGTCACTCCTGGCAGCTCGTGTGTTGTGTCCAGGTTCGAGTCACTGTGGCACCCACGCCTTCACTTCCCTCGGGACAGCGAATCCCCTGGAAGATGGCACGGCCACACAGCAGGTGCGCATGCAACTTGTTAAGAAGCCGTTCCTTTGTTTTCCAAAGTCACAGAGCCATTTTTACACTCTTGTCATCAGTGTTTGAGAATTCCCTATTCGCCACATCCTTACCAGCACTTTTTAAAAATTTTGGTCATTCTTATGAGATTGTAGTGTCTCTTGCTATGGTTTTTTATTTATATTGCCCCATTGTCCCGGGGTGCTGAGTATCTTTTTATGTGTTTATCTGCCATCCATGTGTCTGCTTCACTAAAATCTCGTGCTTTAAAAACTTGGATATTAGGTCTTTTCTTTTTCCATGTCAGACGAGTGATGTGCCAGGGTCGGAGCAAGGTTTGAGGGCGGCGCATCTCACGCGTGCGGCATGGACACAGTCGTCACGCTCAGGAAGGGCCCTTGTAGGTCTTCTTATTTTGCAGTTGGTTGTGTTCTCCTGTCAGATACATGTTTCGCCAGTGTTTCTCCCCAGTCTTTGGCTATTAATTTTGATGAAGCCTAATTTATTTGTGGGTTGGTGGGTTTCTTTTACGCTTTGTTCTTAGTTTCTTGTGTTTAAGAACACTTTCCCAAACCCAAAATGTTTTTCAGATGAACTAAGGCTTTCTCCTAGGTCCCTTCCTAGAAGTTCTATGGGGTATTTGGTTTTGGTTCTGGTTTTGCTTTTGAGACAAGGTCTCACTCTGTACTGTAGGCTGGTCTTGAACCCACTATGTAGCCAGCTGGCCTCAGACTCACAGGTATTATCCTGCCTCAGCCTTCTGAATGCTGGGATTCCAGATGTGCACCATCACACCAGCTAAGTTTTGTAATTTTATCTGTTATATTTAGGTCTGTGATCTACTTTTAGTTTATTTTCACATATGGATGAGGCTCATATTTATGTATATGAATACCAAATTTTTCTAGTACATTTTCTTTAAAAGACTTTTTTTATTATTGATTAGTTTTGTTTTGTTTTTGGTCTTTTTGAGATAGGACTTGCTATGCAGTTCAAGCTGACCTTGAGCTCACTTGGTAGCCCAGGCTGGTCAGGAACTTGCAGTGATCCCTGTTTCAGCCTCCCCAGTGCTGAGATTACAGGTGTGCGCCACCATGCCCAGCTTTAGTTTTGGAATACTTGAGAATCACTGACAAAATGTGTATGAGTCTCATTCCAGATCCTGGCTTCTTTTTTTTTTTTTTTTTTTTGTCAGAACTGGGGATTGAACTCAGGCCCTTGTGCTTGCCAGGGAAGTGCTTATTCCACTGAGCCATCTCCCCAGCCCAGATCCTGGCTTCTGTTCCACTGTGTTTCTCTGTATTTGTTCACTACTACACTGTTTTTATTACTGTAGCCTTATAATAAGCTTCAAAGTCAAGTATTGTAAATCCCCCATGTTTGTCCTTGTAAAAACATATTTTGGTTATTCTAGGTCCTTTTCATTTTCAAATTAATTCTGGCTGGTCTTTTTTGGTTTTGGTTTTGGTTGTTTGTTTGTTTGTTTGTTTGTACTGAAGATTGAGCTCAGGACCCTGCACTTGCCAAGCAGGCACTTATTCACTGAGCTATATCCCTGGCTCAAAGTAATTCTAAAGTCAGCCTTTCAACTTTTACAAATGTCTACTGGGGTTTTTTTTTCACCCCTAGGGTTTTAATTTGGAGAGAAGTCATTGATTGGAGTCTTTCTAACTTTCTAATGCTACACAGCCATTTAGAGCTACACATTTGCCCTTAGTATGGCTTCACCTGCAGCGCCTAGATTTTGATATGTTGTGTTTTCATGTTCATTCAATTCAAAGCATTTCTTCCCTTTTCTTTTATGTATTTGGTACAGGATCTCACAACGAAGCTCAGACTCATAGTGATCCTCCTGTTTTCAGCCTCCCCAATGCTGGGATTAGAAACATGTGTCACCACGTTCAGTCTTGGTGGCCAGCATGGCATGTGGTACAGTGGAATCGAACCCCAGCCCCTGTACTTGCCTAGGCAGGTGCTTAATCCACAGCCCTCAAAGCATTTATGATCACCCTTGTTATTACTGTTTTTTTGGCTTGTGGGTTAAATTCTGTTGAATTTCCAGATATGGAGAGATTTTTCTTATATACTTTGAACATTTCAAATTCAATTCAATCTTGGTCAGAAGACACAAAATGTGACTTTAAAAGTACAGCGTGTGTTTACAGTTTGTGGCAGTAAAGAGCACATGGCCGTGAGCCCCATCAGTGCCCTGGCTGCCGGCACACTCAGTACCCACAGCCCTTGCCAGGCACTTGTGTTTCCTTGCTCTAACCGGTCAGAACACCCTGTGATTGATTTCCCAGTCTCAGCGCCTTCTGTTGCAGGTGCGCCCACTGCCTGGGCCCCCGCCCCTCGGACCCCTTTGCGCGCTTCTGTCCTGAGTGTGGCGCGCCCGTCCCGCCCATATTCGGCTGTCGTCTTCCACCCCCAGAAGGAGCCCAGGTGAGCCAGGAATTCTTAAGTGTGTCTTTCATCAGTCTGCATGGTCTGTACCTGGGGCAGTGGCGCAGTGCTCAGTGCACGTGAACCACAGCAGAAATACTTGAAAGAATTACACGCAGGTAGTAATCTTTACTATCCAGATTCCTCCTGTAGAATGGAAAAACTAACTGGCTCATTGTCAGCTTGTCAGCATTCTGGGAGGCCGAGGCAGGAAGACTGCAAGTTTGAGCCCAGCCTGCACACTTAGGAAGACCCTGTCTCAAAACAAAACAAAAATTTTAAACAAGGGCCAGAGATCGCAGGTTAGTGCTGAGGCCTTGGATTCAATCACTAATACAAGGGAGGAAATAAGGTGAGGGGAGATCTAATAACAGTGCCATTTCTGTTTAGTGAAATTACAGAGATTCAGACAGGGGAAGACACTGAAATGTTACTGTTTTAGTGAGGCATTCATAGATAAGTAAATGTTTCCCCCAATTTGGTATTTTCATTCATAACCTGGGTACAGTAAAGAAATAGGTTCTAAAAATTAACAGAGAAAGATGTTAATATCTTTATAGTTGTACATCTATAAGATACATAATTTTGTTCAAAGAAGTTATAGGTTGATCAGTATATTTAAATTTAAAGGCTGTAGCTGATAAGTGTAGTAATGACTGATGTTTCCCTACCAATAATTTTGTAGTTAGGCCCAGAGATGCCTGGCATAATAATACATACCTGTTGTCTTAGCAGGCTACAAAGTTGAGGCAAGGACAGCCCTACTATTCAAGCCCAGTCAGCCAACATAACAATTTTGTGAGACTCTGTATCAAAATAAATAAA